AATAGATATAAAATTCAAAGTATCAAGCTGGGTCAATAAGAGTAAATATTCATCAGTTGGACTTACCAGTTGCCATGACTAAAAATTAGAATCATTAAGACGATATATCCATTAAACTAAGTAACTATTGATAAACGCTTCTATAAGTAGTATACTTTAAATTTATAAAATAATTATCTTCAGCTTTTTCATTATTAAAATGCAACTACACTTTATCAATTTACACAATCGTTTCTCCGTGTTCACCTACTTCAAACCAACAACTTCCGGTATATTTGGACAACTTTCGGTACAAGACAGAACAGCTGCAATCTTATCTAATTATTTTAACTAATTTATTTATCTCGAAATGTTTATATATACTGAATTACGACAAGATCACTCAATCTAAAGATAACCTCTTCACTATAGAATTCATGGAAAGTTTTTCTCGGCTAATTCTTAAATCGAAATTGATATGAAATATGAAAATTCACTCGTTAAAAAGATGAACTACAAAATTCGTCCATTGAATTCTTTGGGATGGAGCTCACGACCATGAACCTTATAGTTGTTGATTGATGATTGTTGATTGTATGATGCAAATGTACAATTCTAAAGCCTTTTTGCTTTCTGAAGTCTGGATTAAGTTTGATCCGTTTAAGAAATATACATCTTAAAGTGAAACCCTTCCGCAAGTATCGACAGCTTTTACTGCAGAGTGCTAGTGCAGGGTTGTAGATCGCTAGTGGAACACCCTCGGTTTAAGAGGAGACACCAAGTTCAAAAGCACTGGTCAGAGTAAAATATGGAAAACAAATTAGCTACCAGTCTGAATTATCAATTCGTTTCATGATTTAGCTCATTCCACAATTAAATCCCTAACTTCTGAAACAATTTCATAAATAACTGTAAGCCAAAATATTTACCTAACTTTGTGCATTACTTCTAAATGCACAGAAAATCTGTAATAAATCCTCAAGTCAACTTTCCTCTTCTAAAATTTGAATTGGCAACATCAAGTGTTCTCATGTACACAAGTTTTAAATTATTATTACACTGTTATACTTTACAGTATACTTGCTCGTTTACTATAATACATCACTTTCTATGGTTAATCGCTTCCTGATATACTCCAATGCACGAGGTTTCTATATGATAAAATGAAATGCGTTGATTAAAATAATTCCAGTCGATTTCTCCAATGGGATAATATCGCTAACCGGTTAATTTCTTGAAATTGTTACTAGGGTGATCACGCGCTGAGTTTATTGATATATACATAGAAATACTGATACTCATATAGACCTACGATTCTGATGTATATATGATATCATCTTCACAATGTAAAGCTATTACAAACATCGTCTTAGACGTCTTTTACCTTGACTGCAACAGTCATATTTCTTGTGTAACAGATGTTTGTAATCTAATACTAAATTCAACGATTTGATTGGATTGTATGCAAGCCGATACAGCTAACAAGAGGCCTCGACACACAGTCCGTAAACACAGAGTCATGACGTTTTTCTGTCGAGGTCTCTGATTTGCTGTATTCGATGGCGTACGATCCAGTCAAAGCGCTGCATTCCGTGATACAATACAAGTTGTTCCTATTGTAGTCAAGGTATTAGACGCAGTTTGTAATAGCTTGACATTGTGAAGATGATATACACTTAAACATATATATCTACTGGAGCCATACAGGAAATTCATGCAATTTAACTTCTGTGGTTTCTGAATTGATTTTTATTATTTCCTTTCACAAAATTTCTTCGATTCCATTGTTATTGGTTTATGATGTTTTTTTTATGATGTTTGTACTTGTTTAGCTACATATATAGTTAAATAGTTTCCTTTATATCCTCCCAGAAATTCCCCTCTGTGAATTCAAATTTCTAAAATTCCAGACGAGCTTGTTTACTTTATGGACCAGTTTAAGACTGTTTTAAGTAAATATTATAACATTGAACGGCAATAAATCGCTTTCGGTAGTAGAAAGTCAAATTATAGTCTTTTAACTACCGAAAAATTGACTTACAGCTATGTACTTAGCACATACATCCTAAGATCCATTGCCACAGACTGGAACGAGAAAACTATCCAAATGATTGGCTCGCATCGGTAATTCGTGTAAAATGATATCATCAATGATTAAAAAACCCAATCTTGGCGAATCGTCGAAATAAGCTGTTTATTATTCAATTATTCATAGAATTAGGAAAGTTTATTTCCGTACCGGGAGTTTATTGAAATGTATACGGAGTCAGTAGAGTGAATTAACACGACAAGCGGTCCAGAGAAGGTCAAATTCGACCAAAGGCCAAAGTTTGGAATTTGATACTCGCTATTATGTCTTATATAAAGGGAATGAGTTGCCTATATATAACTTTACGTGCTTATTTAAATCCAGTTCCGTTATCCGTATCATTTTTAAGAATTGTTGTTCTTCTGCAATTCCAACAAAACTTTCCGTGTAAATATGAAAATATAACCTCTTTCTAGGCATGGCGCCAAAATATCGTATATATCTGCAGGTTAAAATGTTGATAGCGTCGTAGAAGTGACGAAAGTCAGAACAGTTTTTTTTTATCTAAAGGGAGGTAAGAATTTCTCATAAAGTACATATTTTTAATGAAGAAAAAATGTCCTTTTAGTTTTTTATGTTGCCTGGCGAAAATTCCATAGGAACTATCATGACCTGTTCGATGCATCTTTACAATGTCAAGCTATTACGAACTGCGTCTAATATCCGGATAATCATAGTCTTTTTGGCTGTTTTTGCCAGCGTACAATCCAATCAAATCGCTGTATTTACAAACTTCAAGAAAGGTAGTTATTTCTGTTAAGATACAAGACGTAGTTCCTAATAGCTTCGCCTTGTTAAGATGGTTTGGCGATGAATTCCAGGCTTTGCTTGTGTTTCAGATTCCTCCCTAATTCTTTTTTTTTTTTTTTTTTTTTTTTCTTTTTTTGAGTTATACTGGAATTGCAGGAAACAGTTGGCGGAGTGGAAATCAAAGTGCATAAATGAGCTGTAAGTGGTCAAATTGTCTTCAGTCTCATCAACAATGTAGCGATCAAAGGTAAAACGAAACGAAAAAAGGGAAATTAAATTTTAATAAGAGAAATATGGTAATAAATTTTATTAAACACACTGTAACATTTGAAGAAAGTGAGAAAAAAAAACCCCAAAAAATGTCTTCTATAATATTTTTTAAAATTGCTGATCAATTTTATCGTTTTCGATTCATTAAACTAATTCTTAATTCTGAACGCATCCTTCTAAATTCACTAAACCACGCCAAAATATTTTGAATATCCAAACAAATTAAAAATCCGAACACAACCGTTAGCGTTGTGATCCCTAAAATACTCCCGATGGCCTTAGCGCTCGGCCGAGGATCATCTACACTTATTAACTTCCGGCGAGCCGCAGAAACTTCTTTCGGATCCACAAAAAGTTCTGTTGTAATTTCGTCAAGTTTTTCCTCTAATTGTTTGCTACCGATCTCTAATTGCGGTCCGACCATACACATGCATTTGCACACGGTCTCGATGGTTTCATTATTACCATTCAGGAAACTGGTATTTCCGGTTTGTTGCACCTGCGTACTAGGATTCGATGACGTTGTATCTGAAATTACATTAAACATGAAAATTTTAGGAAGTAGTAATGCAAGGGAAATAACTCTTGTTTAAAATCTATTGAAAGTCAGTGGTGGATGACTGTTGGACTCATTTCAAATCTACGTTATTGATTGTGTCGTCTTGGGAACTTTGTTGTACTGAGTCAGAAAAAAATGTCCTTTTCGGGTGAAAAATCAAATATCAAACACTAACAAAATCATTATATTGAACTTTTGATTGATTAGTGATTCATATTGTATTTTTGACGATGTACAATGGACAATTTCCGAAACGTCTGCTTCTACTCCAGCCTCTGATAGCTATTGTGAAAGTTGTCGGTTGGAGTAGGGTCAGAAAAACTAAAACTAGGCTCTGTTTTATGGGGAAAAAATACTGTGAAAATAGCTGAAATAAAGGCAGATTTTTTGGACTATTTCTGGACTGAATTCACTTAAACTTTGTTTAAATCTTAAAGTCTTGAATATATGTAAATAGTCTTTAGAAGTACTGGAAATGTAAATCGCATAATACCTTCAAAAATATCTCAAACAAGGAATTTTATTGACCTATTTCTATAGATGTCTTTTCTATATATGGCAGCGTCTCAAGAAAAGACGACTTGTCTTTTGAACTTTCAAACTCGGGTAATGTAGGACATAAATTTCGATAGTGAGCTGTGAACACTATTACTGATTAGCTTATCTGAAAATAAATCCCGTTTCTGAGACTAAGGTATGATTGATAGAAGAAATGGTGCAGCTGTCCCTTTAAACAAAACTGTGGTCTAAAAGATCGAATTTGTCAAGTTGAAACTAGATCAAACCGATATCGGACTGAGATATTTCTCTATATCGATATACTCGTTATCAATACGGGGAAGTTTTTTATATTAATAATACCATCAATATTTATGGGGAGAGGTTTGCACGAGCTTGTTGAAATTCCCAAGTAATCTATAATCATTATAGATCATTGCTACTTGGGAGTTGAGCAGACATAATATCACAAAATCAAAATTAAATTTCATTTCAGCAGAATTGCATCTCTCGTTCGAAAATGGTTGTGTGCACTATTACAATTGAGCACCGCATCAAAAACCAAAATAATAGTATTTTACACGAGTTATGACCCATTTTTGGAAATGCCTACATTTTGTTAAGTTCGAAATAAAGAACATGAAGTTTGACTTCCACTTTACGAGGTGTAGTTGCGCGTGAACACCTTCCTGAACACCTGATGTCACTTCGTGTTTGGGCTTGTCAATTCGACACCATTTTTCTAAAATTCCATATATCATTCCATTCGTTATACTTTTTATTGATATACGTACCTTCTTCTGTTGAAGTTGGAACAGTTTCGTCCGATGTAGCATCAGTAGACGGTTGATCTGTGGTTGTCTGTGGATCTGTGGTTGTCTGTGTTTCTGTGGTTGTCGTTTGTTCTGTGGTTGTCTGTGTTTCTGTGGTTGTCTGTGTTTCTGTGGTTGTCTGTGTTTCTGTGGATGTCTGTGGTTTTGTGGTTGTCTGTGGCTCGGTGGATGTTTGTGGTTCCATGGTTGTCTGTGGTTCAGTGGATGTCTGTGGTTCCGTGGTTGTCGTTTGTTCTGTGAATGTATGTGGTTCTGTGGTTGTCGTTTGTTCTGTGGATGTCTGTGGTTCTGTGGTTGTCGTTTGTTCTGTGGATGTCTGTGGTTCAGTGGATGTCTGTGGTTCCGTGGTTGTAGTTTGTTCTGTGGATGTCTGTGGTTCTGTGGTTGTCGTTTGTTCTGTGGATGTCTGTGGTTCAGTGGATGTCTGTGGTTCCGTGGTTGTAGTTTGTTCTGTGGATGTCTGTGGTTCCGTGGTTGTAGTTTGATCTGTGGTTGTCTGTGGTTCTGTGGTTGTCGTTTGTTCTGTGGTTGTCGTTTGTTCTGTGGTTGTCGTTTGTTCTGTGGTTGTCGTTTGTTCCGTGGTTGTCGTTGTCGGAATTGATTTAGTCCCAACTAAAAAATAAAGAAAGATAGATGTGCAAAGGATAAAGTTCATTATCATTACTGTAGAAGAAATGACCTTTCAGAATATCGAGAGATAGGAAGTAGGCGATCAATGTTTCTTTTACTTGAAGAACTTCTTATAAGTACTATGGGTTATGCACTCGGACTGTCCTCACTATTGTGTTAAAATGAAATGAAGACGAACGGTGTCGAGTGTGATGTATGGTTCGGGATTAACGAATCACTGAAAAAGAGAATAGGTGATGTTCTGTTGAGTTGAAAAACATGTAGCAAACAAACTAGGTACAGGTCAGGACATATCGCTTCTTCGTTTTTCTACTGATTCGGTATCACCGCACCGAACATGTAGAGGTAAATATTTCAGATTTGGTATCTAGGTACCACTAGTTTTTCTGACTCTACTCCAGCCGACAACTGTTAAATTAGCAATCAGATACTGGAATAGAAGCAAGTGTTTAGCACTATGGTTATACTTACACACATAGCACGATCTGGTAAACAAATCAATGTTCTGTCCAGTGGTATCAATATACTGAGATGAATCTAGAGCTGTGCTAGGAGTAGATCCAAAATGAAAGTAACACGTGTTTTGGGTTGAGCTAAATGTGAAGCCCCAGCATTCCTCGTTCTTATAACTATAGCTATTACATAGAGCCTCACAGCTCGCTTGATCTGTGTCGGTTTCTACTACATCTGAGGTCATACCCTTACCACTTACTTTAAGAAACTCACAGCTCGCTGTAAAAATGAAAGGGGAGAAATATTAGAGATGTTTCTGCGAGTGCCTAGAAAAATAAAATCTGTCGCGGCATAACCCTTCCCCTGCTCTTTAAAATTTCTTTCTACTTAACATATGGGAAGAATTGCATGTGAGCCCCTATTGACAATACCGTGGTGCCAACTCGAACCCCTCGCATACTGGTGAATGGTCGAATCTGGACGCGAAGAATTGTTAATTTGAACAAAAGTGCTCCAAGAGCTTCGGATCATTCATTCCATTTTAAATAAAGCAAAACATGAGCGACTTATTCTATTTAACGCTCCTTACAAAAGTTGTCCGACGACACGTCTTTCCAACACTCCCTACTGCCACACCCCACGCACCCTTCTTCTCCTGTCCCTCTCAATAATTTGTTATTTTCATGAACAAATTGGGAAAACAAGCCGATAAATAACTACGCTAATATATACTCGAATATATTATTAATATTCCATAACTAATTTGCCTTTCGGAAGGATATATTAACAGTAGTAATTCGCCGGAACTTCCGGGCAGGTAATCCACACTCAATATCCGCTCTTAACAGGTGATCGTTCACGGATAAGGAAATGGGATTTTACACTTGAATCATATGAACAGGTCTGTTGACTAGAATATCGAAATGAAAGTTTTAGGTTTTAGGCTACGATTGTACTTACCATTGGTTGGATGAAATAAAATGATGTTTTACGCCTTACTTTTAAGTACAAAATGAAATGAATGGAGTTTTACGTCCTACTTTTCTGCACCATGTGGGATTAAGATGGGCAACGCCACCGCGGGTACAAGAGAGCTATCATTAATAAAACAGAGGTTTATGTCCAACATTTACAACTTATTGGTAATGAAATAAAATGGAGATTTATGTCAACAGAAGATGTGAAAAGATGATATTACCTATTCTCTCTTGACAAATAAACTGATACTCTGTTGTTTCACTTTTAGCAAACCTGTAAAATGTTAAAACAGAGACAATTAGATCAGAAAATTGTTGCTTGCTTTCAAAAGTACGATAATAATGCCCCACACTTTTTACAACACTAATGATGATATTTCAATTGATTGGAATAACTTGTTTCGTTAATTAAAAATCTTATGTATACATTATATGCAATATCAACATGATCAACAGAATCGCAACACGAACGAACACACAAAGTTGTCAACGATTGGGTCATGAGAACTTTTTCTTATTCACAAACTATGACAAGAAAGATACAGACTATGACAAAGAACATGCACATTATTACAAAGAACATAAAACCTATGGCAAAGAAAATACAAACTATGACAAAGGAAATACAAACTATGACAAAGGAAATACAAACTATAACAAAGAACAAACAAACTGTGACAAAGAACATACAAACTATAACAAAGAACATACAAACTATAAAAAGAACATTAAAATTATGACACGGGAAATACAAACTATGACACGGAAAATAAAACTATGACAAAGAACATACAAACTATGACAAAGAACATACAAACTATGACAAAGAACATTAAAAATGTGACAAGGAACCTACAAATTATGACAAAGAAAATACAAACTATGACAAAGAAAATACAAACTATGACAAAGAATATACAAATTATGACAAAGAACATACAAACTATGACAAAAAATATACAAACTATGACAAAGAACATACAAACTATGACAAATGACAAATAACACTACAAATACAAATTAGTGACTGGGAAAAATTCCTTCAAGTAGAAATTGCATTGTTTGGAAATCGATCTGATTTGATTTTGTATCGATTTCAGCCAAGGGTCAAAACTTCCTGATATTGAAACTCCATAAATTGTCCAATGGCTAGTTTGATTTTACTTCATGAACTTGACTTAATGATGTAGGCCATTGAACGGTTTCAAAGGGATGGTGCCAAATAGAAAAGGTATCATCAACTATCAATAGCAGTGACAAAAACATACCATATACGATGTGTAACTAGCAAGCAGGTTGTGACCCAATAACAGTCAGTGAGCCACCATTGACCAACTAGCCAGCAGATTGTGGTACCATAACATTGAGCAACCATTGATCTTAACTATCGTGACCAACTAGCCAGCAGATTCTGGCACGATAACGTTGTGCCACCATTGATCTTAACTATCGTGACCAACTAGCTAGCAGATTGTGGTACGATAACATTGAGCCACCATTGATCTTAACTATCGTGACCAACTAGCCAGCACATTGTGGCACGATAACATTGAGCAACCATTGATCTTAACTATCGTGACCAACTAGCTAGTAGATTCTGGCACCATAACGTTGTGCCACCATTGATCTTAACTTTCGTGACCAACTAGCTTGCCGATTGTGACAATATAACAGTCAGTGAGCCACCATTGAACTTAACTATCGTGACCAACTAGCTAGCAGATTGTGGCATGATAACATTGAGCCACCATTGATCTTAACTATCGTGACCAACTAGCTAGCAGATTGTGATACGAGTACGATAATATTGAACCACCATTGATCTTAACTATCGTGACCAACTAGCTAGCAGGTTGTGACCCGCTAACAGTCAGTGAGCCACCATTGATCTTAACTATTGTGACCAACTAGACAGCAGATTGTGGCACGATAACATTGAGCAACCATTGATCTTAACTATCGTGACCAACTAGCTAGCAGATTCTGGCACGATAACGTTGTGCCATCATTGATCTTAACTGTCGTGACCAACTAGCTAGCAGGTTGTGACCCGATAACAGTCAGTGAGCCACCATTGATCTTAACTATCGTGACCAACTAGCTAGCAGGCTGTGACCCGATAACAGTCAGTGAGCCACCATTGATCTTAACTATCGTGACCAACTAGCTAGCAGATTGTGGTACGAGTACGATAACATTGAGCCCTCATTGATCTTAACTATCGTGACCAACTAGCTAGCAGATTGTGACACTATAACAGTCAGTGAGCCACCATTGATCTTAACTATCGTGACCAACTAGCTAACAGATTGTGGCACGATAACATTGAGCCACCATTGAACTTAACTAACGTGACCAACTAGCTAGCAGATTATGGCACGATGACATTGAGCCACCATTGATTTCAAATGTAGGAATATGTCACTGAAATTGTGCAAAGAGCTTGTTCAACAAACAAATGAACTGTATCTCGTTTATTCTCACTTGAAACCACGTGATGTCTCTACAAGGGAGATGATAAAAAACCATTTCAAAATCTACCTAGGACCACAGCTTTAATACTCAAGGACATCATAATGCAAATAAGCAATTGTTTTCAGTAACAATGTGAGTAATTGAATAGGTAATGAGAAAATTAGCATATATAACTATCCTTATTGTTATATATCATTGATCGCCAATAATGTTCGATTTTCCTTCAGTAGCCGAATACTTCCCATTTTCTACATCTATACAATGGTCAAGGTATCACGACTTTGTCTGAGTACAGAACTGCATATACAGCTAATAATACACCTCTAGACAGTGCTGACTTTTTTAAAGACTTGACTGCATGTATTCGCTGAAGTACAATCCAACCAAATCGCTGCATTTACGAACTTCCTTGATACAAAAAGGTGGCTATTGCAGTCAAAATAAAAGACTAACTTCGCAACAGCTATACATTGTGAAGATTTTCTACGGGTACAGGTAAAAACACGATGCTTGAGATACCTTGCTTTTTAGATTTGTCGTATTTTTGTCACGAAAACAATATTCTTAAAGCTTTATATTGTGACATGAATATTTCGAAATATGGAATGTAAGTCCGCAGCACTGCCACTTTAATAGACATAATAGTACATAAATAAAACTACTTGTTGAAACTATTTGTAATATGTTAAAGGGAAAGCTTCGCCAATTTTTGGGGCTGATTTGGGTCTTGAAGATAACCGTTTTCAAAAGTACTAGAAATGTGCGAAAATCATAATTCGTAAAAAATATTTCAAAATGAGAATTTCACTTTCTATTTCTATATATGTCTTTCTATTTATGGCAGAATCTCAAGAAAAGACGAGTAGTCATTTTCACTTTTAAACGCGAATAATTTTGGACATACATAGGTTTGAATGCTCATTTTTCGACGGTGAGCTGTGAACATTATTCCTGATTAATGAAATACAGTTTCTAAGATTAAGGTACGATTGGTGTGACTGATAGGGAAGGATATTTTGTTTACCAATCAGACTGCTGGACTGTTTTTTAGCTAAGCTAATCAGTAATTGTTCACAGCTCAGTGTCGAAATTTGAGCCTTCAAATCCATGTGCGTCCAGAATGAATGTTTGAATGTTAAAATGACAACTCGTCAATTTAAGATACTCTATGATATATATGTTTTAGTATATTGCTAGTACTTCTGAAGACCATTTACATATATCCAAGACTAAAATCAACCCCACCCCCAAAAAAAATGGCACACCTATCCTTTAAGAACCTCCTTGCATGTGGCATCCATGGGAACAAGTTGACTGTAATTTATTGATGTTTCACTACGGAAGAATGACGTTCACGTACCTATTCAGCATTTCCCTTGTACTGTCAAAACAAATGTCGTTGTTGAATTAATACATAAACAATATATCTTAGATACAATATATTTCTTAGTCTTGGTGCATTCATGCCGATCTAACATCTATCCTTTGGGAAAACCGTTCACTTTATTAACTGAAATTCTCTTGACAATAAGATTGGAAAGAAATGGTGTTCGATGTTACACTATTCTGGTCGATTTTCAACCTCCAAGAGATGAATTTCTTATCATTCAAAATGTAGGATATAGGAGTTTTACGTCCATCTTTTCTACTCCTCTTGGATAAGATTATTATTGGAAATTGAGTAGTTGAATTGCAAACGGAGAGTTATTTATCTTCTCGCCCTGATGGATGTGAACTCTCTAAAAGGGGGTGCCAAATTGACAAACCTTGTCCAGCAGTGTTAGCATGTGTTCCGGGTGCGTGAGCATGTAGTCCCCGCTAGCGAAACTCGGTCACAATAATTATTTAAGTGCAGCTTAAGTTTAATAAAGTTTTATTTATATTTGTTTTCGACTTTAATAGATCAAGCTAGAACGACGCCTTCAGATGCATTAAAGGGATTGTATAGAGGTTTTCTAATTTTTGATTGTACACTAATGGCATCAATTTGCACCATTCCAATTTTCAATCCGACGTCTTTGGTTCCTGCAATTTAACTAATACTACGTGTTTTGGGACACTATTTGCGAAATATGCTTTATCACATTCGCGATTAGTGACGTCATTAAACACTTATCTTTAGTGGCATTGCAGGAACGATAATGACGACGGGCAACACCATGCAGTGTGTGCCATGAGGAAAATTTTGCGGGGACAGCCTGCCCTTTTTCGATTTCAAACTGTCGAGGGATCTTAAACGTGCACAGCCTGTAGCATACGGGGGTTGAACAAAAGATCAATCCGTTAACATTTTACATTATTGTATTCGGTGCGTATAGCTCGATATTTTATATTAAATAAAGGTTAATGGGCGAAAGTAACTTAATAAGTTCAATAATATCGCAATTCAAGGATCGAATTACTTCAAGCCATTAGGTGACATATAATACAGATTAAACAAACAATAACATCTACTCAGGCACGTGCACTATTATAGGTCATGTGAGATCAAATCACGTGACATATAATACAAAAATAGACAAGCTTTCAAAACCATGACACTTCCGTTAAAGGTATACTACCGTTTTTCCATAATTACGTAGAGTAAAGGTACTAATACTAATGCTCAGTCTTAAATATATGTAAATAGTCTTCAGAAGTATACGAAATGTACGAAAATCGCATAATTCCTTCAAAAATATCTTAAACTAGGAATTTCTTTTCCTATTTCTATACATGTCTTTTCTATATTGACTCAAGAACGACTGGTCTTTTAACCTTCAAGCGCGGATAATTCTGGACACATATTGATTTGAAGACTAAGATTTCGACGGTGAGCTGTTTCTAAGACTCGTGTTTTCTTGAGACTCTGCCATAAAAATAGAAATTTAATTTCCTAGTATTTTAGAAGGAATTATGCCATTTCCGTTTATTTTTATTATTTATTATTTATATATATTCAAGATCCAAATCAACCCCCGAAACTGGCCAAAATGGCCCATTTAACATATTTCGAAAACCATTTATTTTATTGAACAAAAGACGAACACTCCTTTCTTCCATAACTACCTTTTTAAGGCATACTTACCAATCGTATGAAGACGTGCGCATAGCTATAGTACCGGAAGAAGCTGAACTTCCACTATAAAATGCTCTAGTTTCACCACTGTCCCACGTCGAATCCTTCAGTCCTATCCACAGATACTCTGCTGTGCTAAAATTAGAAAAAGCTATTGTTTAAAACTAAAAGCTGTTCTTAATGAACTATTTGATATTTTTTCAGAATGGAAACGAAACGAAACGAAACGAAACGAAACGAAATGAAACGAAACTTACGGTGTCCATTTACCAGATGTTATTTGCCCTTCTATAGAATCTTGTATAATACGGTCAAGATACACCAGGTTTCCACCAGCTTCCTTACAAACATCTGATGCTTTGGCCCGAGTTAGATCTCCATCGTACAAATAGATAAGAGCTCGAGGTCTTGAAACTGTGGCCAAATTATGTCTCTCAACAGCCGTCGCTACAAAATAAATAATTACCGAAGATTAAGAAGTAAATGACTGACTAGACACTATTTCTTTTACCGCACCCAAGTTGATGAAACTGTTCGCAATATGTGTTTGGGACGGAGAAACAAATTTATTTTGGGGTGTAACTTTAGAGCCCATAGTTAGCACTTTGCTGAAATCCAAAGTCCCCCCCCCCCCCCCCCCCCTGTGAAAATTCTTGGTACCCGCCCACATCTAAACTATCGATACCCCACCCCGACCTGAACTACCCCTTATATTTACCTGATGTAGCGGTGGACTCACAGGTTGATGTGGGTTCCTGGGGATTAGCTTGAATCAAACTTTTATAATCTGTGTCGTACACACCTGAAATATTCAAAAAGTAAAAAAAGGTAGAATAAATAGTAATAGAAACTATACAAGTCAGATCTATATTGTATTCAAGGGTAGAATAAATAGTAATAGAAACTATACAAGTCAGATCTATATTGTATTCAAGGGTAGAATAAATAGTAATAGAAACTATACAAGTCAGACCTATATTGTATTCAAGGGTAGAATGAATAGTAATAGAAACTATACAAGTCAGACCTATATTGTATTCAAGGGTAGAATAAATAGTAATAGAAACTATACAAGTCAGATCTATATTGTACTCAAGGGTAGAATAAATAGTAATAGAAACTATACAAGTCAGACCTATATTGTATTCAAGGGTAGAATAAATAGTAATAGAAACTATACAAGTCAGACCTATATTGTATTCAAGGGTGAATAAATAGTAATAGAAACTATACAAGTCAGACCTATATTGTGTTCAAGGGTAGAATAAATAGTAATAGAAACTATACAAGTCAGACCTATATTGTATTCAAGGGTAGAATGAATAGTAATAGAAACTATACAAGTCAGATCTATATTGTATTCAAGGGTAGAATGAATAGTAATAGAAACTATACAAGTCAGATCTATATTGTATTCAAGGGTAGAATGAATAGTAATAGAAACTATACAAGTCAGACCTATATTGTATTCAAGGGTAGAATGAATAGTAATAGAAACTATACAAGTCAGATCTATATTGTATTCAAGGGTAGAATGAATAGTAATAGAAACTATACAAGTCAGACCTATATTGTATTCAAGGGTAGAATGAATAGTAATAGAAACTATACAAGTCAGATCTATATTGTATTCAAGGGTAGAATAAATAGTAATAGAAACTATACAAGTCAGATCTATATTGTATTCAAGGGTAGAATAAATAGTAATAGAAACTATACAAGTCAAATAAATAGTAATAGAAACTATACAAGTCAGACCTATATTGTATTCAAGGGTAGAATAAATAGTAATAGAAACTATACAAGTCAGACCTATATTGTATTCAAGGGTAGAATAAATAGTAATAGAAACTATACAAGTCAGACCTATATTGTGTTCAAGGGTAGAATAAATAGTAATAGAAACTATACAAGTCAGACCTATATTGTATTCAAGGGTAGAATGAATAGTAATAGAAACTATACAAGTCAGACCTATATTGTGTTCAAGGGTAGAATAAATAGTAATAGAAACTATACAAGTCAGACCTATATTGTATTCAAGGGTAGAATGAATAGTAATAGAAACTATACAAGTCAGACCTATATTGTATTCAAGGGTAGAATAAATAGTAATAGAAACTATACAAGTCAGATCTATATTGTGTTCATAAAAAATAATGATCACGTTCGTATTTAGAATCCTAACCGGAGATGTAAAGATATATTGTCAGGCAAACAATGATTTAAAGGAAATTCATGAAAAATAATCCTGAGAATTTTTATGTCTGTAACTATAAAAAAGTCTTTCAATTCTATTTAGAAAATATTATCTATTAAATCAGTTGGTTTCCATCGTCTAAATTCACTAACTAAACATGTTATAACGTTTTCCTCCATAGCGAATTTAAAATCATTCTTACCATACTCCGAAATGTAGAGTTCCAAATATTTAGTACTGCGTAAATTAAAGATTACAGAGTCAACGAAATCTCGTCTTTACAATATCAAGCTATTACGAACTTCGTCTTATACCTTGACTGCAATAGCCAGATTTCTTGTATCACGGAAGTTTGTAGGATTTGATTGGATTGCACGCTAGCAAATACAGCCAATCAGAGGCCTAGACAGAAAGTCTGTGAACATAATACAGCCGTTCTGTCGGTGGCTCTTAATGGCGTAGAATTCACTCAAATCACTGTATTATATCTTACAGATGTTGTACGTAATATTGCCTGACCTCTGAATCCCTCGAGACGACGTCCTATTTGTTTCATAAAGAAAGACTAATCCCAGGATGGATGTGTCATGTCTTTCAATTTACACGCTACCAAAGCATGAATAACGATTTATACACAGAACACGTATGTTGCTGGGATTGTATACAGAGTAAAAGTGCGAATAGACGATGTACGGTATCCGGTTCGTTGTGCGATGTGGGATTATCGACACAGTGTCCAGACCGTCGTGTGTTCACTTCTTCTATTTTCTACTGCATCGATAATTACGCATCGTACTCCGCATCGGACATCGTACATCGTCTATTCGCGGCTTTAGGAGGCAAATATACAAGGTTCAAAAAGTTAATACACGCGGTACGGGTCCGGACATGGTCCAACTGTATCGATAATCCCGCACCGTACCTGGTATATTCGCGGCTTTATTGTGATAAAACAGTCTTGATAATCGTATCGAAAGTATAACTCATCTCTCTAAAAAGACTAAAATTAATTTTGTATAAAATGTCTTTTCCATCAAAAAAACACAATACGAAGCACTAGTCAATAAAAATATACATGAAAATAATCATTTAAAAAAAAAATCCGGAGTAAAGGGTGTATGATTTTGATCCACTCTCCGATAACTTCTTTTTCATAACTCTTTTTTTCCAAAGGAATGAAAGCTTAGCCTGTTCTCAGCAAGTTTCAAGTTGCCCCGAACTCATTAGTAAAGCTTTGATTATCTTGCTTGACGAGTAAGTTTTTGGTTAATTAAGACTGTTCTTTTATCTTTTTATTAATCAGTTCTTTTAATTAGTTGTTACTTTGTATCGCTTATAGAATAAAAAATCTATAAATTCTTGTGAATTTCCCCCAAAGCGAATTCACATACGTTTTCGTCATACTCCTTCAGACATATTTCATAATAAGTATTTATAAAAGATATATTATTGATCATTGGATGAGACAATTTGTCAGCTCAAAGCCATAATAACACTCAAAATAAAACAATAACAAATAGACTAAGACTTTAGAATATAATTATATCGTTGAGTATTCGATCTATTCCTCGAACTAGTGCATTTAAGCAAATCTATTTATCAACTTAAAGGGTCTGTTGCGCCATTCTGTGCGGTTGATTTGGGTTTTGAATAAATGTAAATAGTCTTCAGAAGAACAAGAGATGAACGATATGATAATCACATAATTCCTTCAAAAATACCAAAAAACTAGGAATTTCACTTTCTATTGCTTCGTGTGTCTTATACAAGGTGGAGTCTCAAGAAAAGACGAGTCGTCATTTAAGATTTCAAAAGCTAAAATTCTGGACACACATGGATTTGAAGGCTCAAATTTGAACGGTGAAGGTGAACAATATTCCTGATTAGCTTAGCTAAAAAATCCGCACGATCTTTTTTTTAGATAGAAATAGATAACAATATCGCTAATATCGCTTATTCATAATACTATTATCTATTATTGCCTGGTATATTGACATGCTAATTACCATTTGTCTTTAACCGATCATTCGTAGTCATTCAACTCTTACAACTGGAAAACTTCATTACAAATTGATGACACATACCGAGTTCAACACAATTCATTGCCCTAAGGGCAAATGGTATAATGGAAATGTGACTTAAGGGTGGTAATGTCATACTCCATTTAACATCCCGGGTAAGAAAACAACAGTATGGCAACACAAATAACATCGTTACTAAAACACCAATCCCCAAGACGCCAACTAGAACACCTTGAGTCATCATAACGTGTAAACAAATAGTTTCAATAAACTATATCAAGGCATAGTGGTTAATGGTAAATGCCTCAGGCCAAATCTGACAATAAAAGAAATTTTGTAAAATCAAAAACTATAACTATAATATCCGATAATATGATTCATTATTTGATATCTGCAGTAAAGATGGCTACCGTTTGATGTCTATCGAAATCGTTGCTATGATTTTCCCTCATAGAGAACGACCCCGTCTAATATCAAATGATGGCTATGTCATGGTCACGTCATGATTATTAAGGTGAGGATAGATTTACGTTTACCGTATACAGCCTTCAGTGTCCATGTAGAGGATTTAGAGGATTACCTACAGATATAGTAGAAAAATGATCCGAATGCAACAGATGTGTTGCGGACACGATGTCAGACATAGTATATTTGCAATCACAGAGAATAAACGCCCTTAAACCTATTCCTGTTCGGAATCCGTACATCGTCAATTTGTACTTTTAAGTAGGGAAGGTGTTTGAAGTTACGACTAGTGCTTTCGGAAGTTGCTTCCTCTGATCTATGAAACTACCAATATACTGAATAGGTCACCTGTACCTTGTCACAACTATAAATCGATCTATGAGATATGGAAGGCAAACCGGAACGTCGGAAATTATACAAAGGATATCAGAGCAGAGTCAATACATCACAGGAAGATCTCAATATTTATTCTACACGTTTCACAAAACATTGATTTCATTGTTTCTATCTTACATCAGGCGATTACCTATTTACTCGGATATCCGGACTTCGATCTCGGTTTCGTATATTTCTCTGGATATTTAAAGGTATCGTTCCTTTTAGGATGACCACACAATTGAAATTATGGCCAATATGAGTCTCTGTTCATCATTGGATTTACCTGGTGTCAAAACTATACGACAGAGTCACTCTGAAAGCCAATGATACCAAAAAGTTAACTAATTATCCATTAAACTAAGTAATTTTGAAACGCCCGTTCTTCAATAATTACTTGTTTTAATGTTTATATCGTTTTTGATATAAATTCTATTGTTTAGTCATGGTACTTGGTTAATTCCAACTAATGAATATATACTCTTATTGACCAAGTTTGAGACTTTAGATTTCATATCCAGTCTAAGAGGTAGTGTTCCTTTAACATGAGATCGACACAAGTTTCAACGAGTTTCATTAATACAAGTCAAGAAGCATGACTTTGGAAACGCGTAGCTCTAAAAAGTTGGAATGATTAGGCCCATCAAGATATAGGGAGAGAGTGTCATCTTTTTCAAAACTGATACAAAAACAGTGATTACCCACCAGGCCATCAGTGCTAATAATATTAATTCTCTTTTAGAAAGAAATTCTTTTATTATCAAGACAGAAAAATGCGCATTGTTTTACACAATTTGCTCGACAACAAATTCGAATATTTTCCGTCAATATTTAGTTAGATAAATTCTCGACCAATCAAAATGAGTGACAGAAATATAGGTCTACTACTCTTCGTGACCTTCCAGAGTTGATGATGCCACTGGCTATATTTACCTGAACTCTTCTGACAGGCGGTGTCAATCAATTGGCCGATTTTCTGTTTTATTCTTTTCAATTCTTATGTTTGATTCTTCATTGATATTTTATTAGAAATTGTTTTATAAGGGCTAATATTTAATATTTAATATGATGTTATTGGCTTCCCAATCAATGATAGCGGTGATCATATTAAAGGGACAGATACGCCATCTATTTGACCTTAGTCTCAGAGACGTGAATTCTTTTAGCTAAGCTAATCAGTGGTTGTGTTTACAGCTCACCATCCAAATTAAGCCCTCACATCCACGTATGTCCACCAGTATTATCCGCGTTTGAAAGTTAAAATGACGACTCGTCTTTTCTTGTGTGATTTTCGTTCATTTCTAGTAATTCTGAAGACTATTTACATATATTCAAGACCCAAGTCAACCCCCATAATGGCAAATCTGTCCCTTTTGAAGCACTTTAAAGGGACTATTAATTAAGCAATTCTTGACGTACAAAACTAACTGTAAGGGTTAGTATGCTAGCTTTTTTACATTCATACATTCATTCAGTCATTCAGTCATTCAGTCATTCAGTCATTCAGTCATTCAGTCATTCATTCATTCATTCATTCAGTCATTCATTCAGTCATCCATCCTTTTATTTATTCAATCATAAATTCATTCATACAACCATTCATCCGTCCTTTTGTCCTTCGTCAGAGAACTTCTGAATTATATTTTACCTATTGTTAAGGAATGATTAACTTCCTATATATCACACTGAATGCTTGCTGAGGAAAGCCTGTTTGCA